GAGGCGGGCAGATCATGAGGTCAGGAGTTCAAGATCAGCCTGACCAACATGGTGAAACCCCTTCTCTACTAAAAATAAAAAATTAGCCGGGCGTGGTGGCATGCACCTGTAGTCCCAGCTACTCAGGATGCTGAGGCAGGAGAATCGCTTGAACCTGAGAGGTGGAGGTTGCAGTGAGCCGAGATCACACCAGTGCACTCCAGCCTGGGCGACAGAGTGAGACTCCATCTCAAAAAAAAAAAAAAAAAATCATTTCAGATCCTGATCAATGCTAAGGAAGAAATGAAATGGAACATTATGGTACAGAAGGATGGAGCTCTGCCTTGGTGAGGGAGGCCTTTGAGGAGGGGTCATCTGAATTGAGATGAGAATGATGAAGAGGAGGAAGCCTTGTGGGGCTCTGGGGGAAGGGCACTCCAGGCAGAGGGAACAGCAAGTACAAAGGTCCTGAGGCAGGAAAGTGCTGGAGTGTTTAAGGAACAGAAAGAAAATCGGTGTGGCTGGAGATTGATGAGCAAAGTAAAGAGTGGGTGATGGGGGTCAAGAAACAGGCAGGGGCCAAGCTACAGGGGGTCCTGTAGCTTCCTGACCACAGAAGGAACACGGGTTTTCTCTTATTTACGATGGGAAGCCAACAAAGACCAGAGTCGTAGCAGCACAGGGAGAAGCGGTCAAGTTCTGAATAGATCCTCGTGGCTGAAACGACAGGAGTTACTGATGGGTTGGACAGCAAGTAGAAGCGACTCTGCCGAGGAGTTTTATGGAAGAGAGGAGCAGGAAAACCAGATGGTAATTGGAGGAGGAGGTGGAATTAAGGGATGATTTTTCTTGTTTTTCTTTTTTTTTTTTTTTTTTTTTTTTCTTTCTTTCTTTTTTTTTTTTGAGACGGAGTTTCGCTCTTGTTGCCCAGGCTGGAGTGCAACGGCGCGATCTCGGCTCACCGCAACCTCCGCCTCCTGGGTTCAGGCAATTCTCCTGCCTCAGCCTCCTGAGTAGCTGGGATTACAGGCATGCGCCACCATGCCCAGCTGATTTTTTGTATTTTTAGTAGAGACAGGGTTTCACTATGTTGACCAGGATGGTCTCGATCTCTTGACCTCGTGATCCACCCGCCTCGGCCTCCCAAAGTGCTGGGATTACAGGCGTGAGGGATGATTTTTCAAAAGGGTCATATTATAGGCTGCTCATAACCCAATGGAATGACCCAGTGAAGGAGAAACTGATGATGCAGAGGAAAGGACACCTAATGTGACAAAGTCCTCGAAGGGTGAAGAGGGGACAACTCAGAGCACAAGAGTGGGCTTGACCTTTGCCCTGGTTCCTATTGCAGCTGTCACAAGAGGCTTAAAGCAGCACACATTTATCTTACTCTTCATCATGCAGCTTCTGTGGGTTCTCCGTTTCCGGCCCTCCTGAGGTAGGAAATCAGCAGCATCTGTTTTCAGAGCACCTGAGAGGACCCCGGTCACCACCCTGCTGATGGCCACAGGATCTGGTTGAAACAAGGTGTGGTGAAGAAGCTGGCAGAAACCAGAAACCCGCAGATGGAGTGGAAAGCAACCCCTAATTGCCCTCACTGCTCACTAACGTAGACACTCCCACCGGCGCCATGGCAGCTTACAAATGCCATGGCAACACGCCATGGCAGCAACCTGAAAGTTATAGAGTTCTGGAAACTTATCACCCCTTTTCTAGAAAGTTCTAAATACCTGCCCCTTAATTTGCATGTAATGAATAGTGGCTGTCTGCGGCTCTGGGCACACTGCCTGTGGGGGTCCTGCTCACAGGAAGAGCACCTCTGCTGTGCACTGCTGCTTCCGTAAGGCTGCTTTCTGCACCACTGGCTCACCCTTGACTTCTTTCCCGGGCAAAGCCAAGAGCCCTGATTTGGAGGCTCACCTGCCCCACATCACTTACAGGTGGAAATCAGGGTGTTGGCAGGGCTCATTCCTCTCTGGAGGCTCTGGGAGAATCCACTTGCAGGCTCGTCCAGGCTGTTGGCAGATCCAGTTCCTGCATTATCCTGACACTCTTGGACATATGGTATGTATTTACATATGTCCATATGAGTAAAAACCCATGGGGAAGAAAAGACAGTCTTGCCTGATGTTGAGATGGAGGGAAATTTTTCTTTTCTTCTTCCTGTTCATCTGAACATTCTAAGTTCCCACACTGAAAATCATTTATTTATTATTTATGTAGGTTTTTTGCTTCAAGTTGTACATGCTGAAAATAAGGAAATCCCTGAGGCCCAAGAGGAAGGAGGGCTTGGGCCCCACCAGATCTGGTCAAAACACCTGGCCTGGCGGCTGCAGCGCCCCCACTTACCCCAGAACCCCTTACCCACCTGCGTGCAGCTCACTGGTGAATGTGTGCAGGGCAGAGAAGGCGGAGCACGCCAGGGCTCTATGGGGAGGGAGGGAAGGCCTAGACAGGCTGAGGCACCTCTCCAGGGTTCAGGCTCCAGTCAGAGTCCCCACTAAGCACACACCAGGGGACCCCAGGAGGAAGCAGGCCCCAGAGCAGGTGTGACATCAGTGGGGGAACAGCCCTTTCCCCCCGCTTCTCTCAGCCTAGCAGCAGTGGGTGGGGAAAACAGAGCTGGGGCCTGTGGGATCCAGGCCTGCCTCGTAGCCTCTCAGGGTCTATGAGGGTGAACACCCAACTCCTGCCCCGAGAGCAGAACCAGGTGGCGGGGGAGAGAACAGGAGGCCCCTCTGGGAGCTAGAAAGGACACCCAGGCCTCCCAAGGAAGGCCTGGCCCTGCCTGGCCATGTAGGAGGAGGAAGGCTGGCCTGAGAGGGATGTGGGACCAAGATAAGAACAGGCACACCCCCACCCATAGGGCTGAGGAATATTCCCGAGGGTCCTATGTGTCAATGAAGTGCGTTTGAAGCTTCTGTCAGCCCTTTGTCCTTAGTTTTTCCTGTCAGGCTCCTGTAACTTCTGTGTTTTTTAAATTATTATGATCATTATTTTGAGATGGAGTCTTGCTCTTTTACCCAGTCTGGAATGCAATGGTGTAATCTCCACTCACTGCAACATCCGCCTCCTGGGTTCAAGCAATTCTCCTAACTCGGCTTCCAGAGTAGCTGGGATTATAGGCACCCGCCATTATGCCCAGATAATTCTTGTATTTTTTGTTTTGGTAGAGATGAGGTTTTACCATGCTGGCCAGGCTGGTCTTGAACTCCAGACCTCAGGTGATCCGCCCACCTTGACCTCCCAAAGTGCTGGGATTACAGGCGTGAGCCACCATACCTAGCGACCCAGTTTTAAAGAACAAGAGCCAATTGGAGAACATCCTGATTCCCTCCATCTTGGCCACGGTAAAAATCAAGATCCAACGCGGCCTCAGCCAGCGGCAGGGCTGCTCCAGGCCTGTTTTCCTCTCCAGCCTAAGCCCTGCTGAGCACCCCCAGAATGGGGACCCAGGACCCTCTTCTTGGATTTGATGTCCTTGACTGACAGCAGTGGTGACCCAGAGGGATGCCCCACGGGCCCCCTTCCTCTCCCCTCCTCAGTGGCCAGGGAACCCATTTACTGGTGTTGCTAGAACCCTTGCATATGTTCCCAAGCATTGCTATATTCCAGGAGCTCCCGAACTTCAGTCATCCCTAAATTAAGCCTAACAGTAAAATGTCATACATGCTCCGGTTCTTTATGCATACTCTACACATGCTCAAATTCCGCCATCTTTTCAAGCCATTGATTTAGTTAATATTTCATGGTAGTAAAATTGTTATGGTTTATTATACATTGTATATATTAATGTTTTAATTATTATTTTTTGAGACAGAGTTTCACTCTGTTGCCCAGGCTGGAGTGCAGGGGCACAATCTCGGCTCACTGAAACGTCCGCCTCCAGGGTTCAAGCGATTCTCCTGCCTCAGCCTCCTAAATAGCTGGGACTACAGTCGCCTGCCACCACGCCCAGCTAATTTCAGTATTTTTTTAGTAGACATGAGGTTTCACCATCTTGACCAGGCTGGTCTTGAACTCCTGACCTTAGGTGATCCACCTGCCTCAATCTCCCAAAGTGCTAGGATTACAGGCATGAGCCAGCCTAATGTTTTATTTGTATATTTATGATATTTTACTGTTAGACTTAATTTTGATTAATATTTGGTAGCACTAAAAATACAATTAGGACAGTAATTACACCTGTAATTCCAGCACTTTGGGAGGCCAAAGTGGGAAGATGGCTTCAGCACAGGAGATCAAAACCAACCTGGGCAACATCGTGAAACTC